TCTGGCATTGGCAGCTCATGTTCATCTTGGAGTCAATAATGACTCCAAGATCCCTTTCCACCTCTGTGCTCACAAGGGGGGAGCTCCCCAGCTTGTATGTATGCTGTGGATTCCTTCTTTCCAGGTGCAGCACCCTGCATTTATCTACATTGAACCCCATCCTATTACCATCTGCTCACTTCTGTAGTCTGTCTAAGTCTAATTGCAGCCTCTCTCTCCCTTCGAGTGTGCCTACCTCTCTCCACATCTTGGTGTCGTAGGCAAACTTGGACAACGTGTTTGCCCCCCCTCGTCCAAGTCGCTGATGAAGAATCCCTTCCCAGCAACTATTAAATGAGCGTTAATAGTTCAGTTCTCCCTCAGCCCCACCAGACAGATAAAGCTCTCTCCATTTTATGGGACCAAGACTAACCCAGCTGATCCTCACTTCCTCCTGGTGGCTTTACTGCTACATAATACTCTTGCATCCTACAATGCCATGGTAACAGATCCTGTCCTGTGCTGGAGCAACACATTACCTTTTGGAACTTGCACATACTGCCTACTATCGCAATGGTGCCTGCACACCTGAGCAGTGCAGAGGAAATCCATAAGGGAGCAGAGAGTTTTGTTTCACACTTACAAGGGATTATTACGAATAGCAAGGAAAAGAGCAAGGTGAGGTAACAGCTGCTTTTTGCCACAGGAAGCCTTGCAAGGAATTGCTTTAAGCATTTACAACACTTTAGAAATTAAGAAACAAAGCTGTGAGCACCAGCAGTAACCATTCATTATAAAGGCTACCATACCGTATTACTTAGACTGTCTATAAATGATCAGCATTTTGCATTACAGCAAGACAGATCCCTGGCCCTAAGAACAAATTAAGGGTTATTTTTTAAAATAAGTTCAGGGCAGACTTCCCCAAGTCCTAACAGTGAGTACTGTTCTTCCAGTTCACAGAAAGGACATTTCCTTCCATGTACAGGCCTCAGAGCAATCTGCCTTTGTAACCTGAAGACTAGGTCATGAGAAGTTACAGCTCTATACGAGTCTAACCTTGAGAACTTCTCACAGACTGCCACTACTGCAGCACGTAACAACTTTCTCAGATGAGGACTTACAACTTGCTTCCCGCTGGCTGTTTATCCAGCAAGTAAGATTGAAGGCCTTCTGTTTAAAAAAATCTGCACAGCATAACACCAACCTATCTAGAGGAGTCCTTGTGACAGGAGCTGCGAAGTTGGAGTTGTGGAGCATCTCAGGCCGATGAGGCACAGCCATCACAGCAGTCCTGAAATGCCATCCCCTTTCACATGCACTAGAACCACTTTGCACAGAGCCCAAAGCACGACTGCAGGTTTCACTTCCCTGTTGAGAAGCTTTTTTAGTGACTGTAGGGGAGGAGCTCACCCTTCCTGTAAGTTCCAGAAAATGCACACAACTTGCCTATTAAGAGCAATTGTTTAAGATGGTGTCATCTCTACCCCACCACCACAAGACAGCATGTTTTATACAACCAAAATTACCATCTCAATTTCAGCTCTCCAGAAGGACTTCATATGTACTTGGCAAAAGTGGTGCCTGTTTTGAGTCCAACCTAACCAAAGACAGTAGCCAAAGGAAGAAGCTTTTAAAGATTACACCAGAAGATTAAAACCCACTCAGATTTCCAAACAATTCCTACTGAAATCAGTGGAACTATGCCTACATTAGGAAATTTAACAGAAGAATTCCCACCTGCCCCAAACCTGGATTAGCACCAGTCTAAGCATGTGCATAGACAAGACTGATGATTTTACCACATTGTTAAGCCTGCTGAACA